GTATTTCCAAAGCCAGTCAGGGATAACTCTGTATTTCAAAAGCCAGTCAGTGATAACTCTGTATTTCCAAAGCCAGTCAGGGATAACTCTGTATTTCAAAAGCCAGTCAGGGACAACTCTGTATTTCAAAAGCCAGTCAGGGATAACTCTGTATTTCCAAAGCCAGTCAGGGATAACTCTGTATTTCTAAAGCCAGTCAGGAACAACTCTGTACAGTGAGGAATGTATAGCTCACATTTGAGTTCTTACCAATGTAGATAACACTCTAAATTATATAGAAATGCAAGAAAATCACTTCATTCAAATTTTAGAGAGAAAAGAGTGGAATCAGCAAGAAATAAAGTAAACAGACATGTACTCAACATTCTGAATTCTACAGATATTTTGAAGGATCGGACAGTTTAATCAAATTTCTTGAAGAAATTGTGTGAAATACGACAAGCAGACGGATATTTGGTTGACATATTGTAATGTATCAATGTGGACTAATTCATACTTTTACCATGTACCCAAATGATCACATCAGTTCAATATGGATTTTCAATAAATCTTACTAAATTAGATTTTGGTCACATATAGTAATATACCTACTCTGGTTCATTGTACAGCCCTCTGACTATCATACTTGATTTTGAAATTTTACAGTTATAAGGCTGATTGAATCTTGCCGTTAGAAAAGATGCCATGATTTTCTGACTTAACACTCATACATCGAAATTTATATTAATCACATAGTTAAATATAGTCATGCTGTTTCAAAGGGTTAACTGACTCTTCCTTGGCTTTGATTGGATGAAGGCTTAAGATCAATGAATTCTCTGTTATTGAAAGAGTAGAGACAATATCATCTTTTCAAAGGGTTCTCCTTCAACATCTGTTCTTATATGGCTCACTGGTCAATGTTTGATTTGATTGTTGAGTTGTAATTGCTCATTGCTTTTCCAAGTAGATTTGTTTCTCAATCATCATTGATTGGGATGTTAGAGTTTGGTTGTTAACAGTTGTAATTTTCTTGTTGGTGTCTCATACCTTAGAGTTTGGTTGTTAACAGTTGTACTTTTCTTGTTGGTGTCTCATACCCTCTACAGTGTTTTCAGTAGGTTTGTCCAAGATTGCGTCTCTGGGACTTACTGATTTTCCCAAAAAATGCGTTCCTCCTCAAAAAACTGCGTCCCTTAACAAAATGTTCCCTTGAATTCATTTGTGCATATGACTTGCACTGCGTCCAAAAAATGCAGTACGATTTTTATTCCCGGGTCCAACATTTTTTCATTGCATTTTTTCAATGCTTGGACGGCGTTATTGAAAACACAGCTCTAAAATCAGAGTTGCCAGAAAGAACTCAAGATAGAAAAAATACGAACCAGAGATCTTAATAATCTCAAATATACTGTGATTTATTAACAATGGTTTTATGATTTTTTGAAAGATATATTGAACAACCTTAAATGCAGTTTCTGTGGCCTTTAATGCAATTCTATAGCATTATATTGGGAAATGCTCCTTTAGACTTAAATATCTTGTTTAGATAATGTAATAGGATTGGATATAACCTTACAATCACTGGCAAATCTTAGGAGTAAAAATCAAATTTTGGTATTTGAAAGGGTAAGCTTTGAATACGCTGTCCAAGATTTGAAAATATTGTACAGGTATTCCCAATATACCACTTCATCTTCAATAGCCCTGATTTACAAGATTACCAGAAATAACCGTTATAGTCATGTTTTAAATCATGAAATTAATGAGAAAAGAGATGAAATAGCATGGAAATATGAAAACAGGTGTAAAGTAAACATTCTGAACTGTATATAAATGTAAAATTATTTGGTAGTTCATTCAAATTTTAAAGAGATAAAAGCGAAATAAAAATGAAACGATTGGAATTTTTGCTTTATTGATACAGATATTGATTTGATGCTACTGTCCAAACAATCAAGACTCCTAACCACCCATTAATAAAATTTCAAGTTTAAAACATTTAATATAAATCTTTAAAAATGAGAGCTGGAAATTACCAAGATATAGAATCAATGCACACAAATGTGAGTCTGTAATCTATATAGTGAAATGTAGAAGTCAACCATTGTTGAAATCAAGAGAATGGCATTGAGGAGTAAAATTTTGAATCTTATCTTTTTAAATAAGCAATCAATTACACTTCCTAGATACCTTGAAAAGTCAGTGTCACAAAATACATACAACAAAATTCCTTCTTAAATCAATCCATCTCTAAAGTTTGAAAGAATAATAAATAATTTCTAATTTTTGTCTGCTTGTCAGTTTCTTTTTAAGATTTGAATGAAATGTGATTTTCTTGCATTTCCTATAGCTTAGAGTGTTAACTATATGCCTGCAAGGAAGATTGGCTCCCAGAGTGCAACATCGATATTCTGTCCCATATATGGACATGTCGTGATACAATATTCAAATTCAAACAGCTTTCACTTTAAAATTTAAATCGTTATGGTCTTATTTCCTAACGAAAAATTCCAAAACTCACAAGAAATGATTGAGATACTGGTTCGAATCTTTTGAATGGTTTATTTTGAATTTATAGTCGGTTTAAATTTTAGAAATTAACGACATTTTGACGTTTTCATTGTTGGAAAATATCGAGTTTCGATCCTGGGAGCCAATCCTCCTTGATATGCCTGTTAACTTTGTCCAGAGAGACACTCAAATTAAACAGGTTTTACTGTATTTGCTCTCTTAAATTAATAATATATGACTTATCTAAGTTTCTCTGGAGTTGAGATTTAGCCTACTATCTTGATTGTTATGTGTTAAATGAATGCAAAATTTTAGCATTTTTGCAAGATTGGAGAGGAACATTTGAACCTGTATAGGGTACTATTGATTTTTGATGTCGTGTTATTTTATGTCTTAAAACATGACATTATGTCATGTTATTTGTGTCTTAATAGATGACATTCATGACATTTGATTTGTTAGTGAATGTATTAAAGTATTAAGCCAAGTATTACTTCATAATTATCCCACTAGGTCTTTAAGCTTTGTTGATACCCGTAGGATTATTTTTTCTGAGGAATAAAATATTAATGCTCACATTTTAAAATGGAAGATTAAGTAATAAGGAGTCTATCGAGTGAATAATAAAGTAAACAGGCATGTAGTTAACATTCTAAATTGTATAGAAATCCAAGAAAATCAGAATGTTCATTCAAATTTTAAAGAGAAATCACAAGAAAATGGTGAGATCAGAGTGAAATTGAGCAGACGGATTCTTGCGGGATTTACTTAGATTGATTGATATAATGTTAGATTATAGAGACTGTAGAGTACTACAAATGACTTACTAATTTTATTGCGATAACTGTTTTCGCTATCAATCTAGAATATTACCATATAAGGCATATTTGCAGATCAGAATTCTCTAATTATTAAAAAAATGAAAATCATGACTTATTCTCTTCAATTAGTGGATTTAAGAACAACATGAACTCTTCATTCAGTCATTGCGTGATTTAGAAACAAGGGATCGAGACTACAATTATGTAATAAGTACATTATCCATATTAGGTATGATCGTGAACATATCGATACATAACAATATAAATCACTCCCTGTAGAGTCGCTACAGAGCATGCAACGTACATGTACTATTCATTCAGATGCCTTTGAAAAATTAACGGAGATAATAGAGCTCTATTTATAATCAGATTATTCTCTATGGATTAAGTCCATAACAATAATGTTATATTGGAAATTAAAAGTTTGACATTGGCTCATCATGCTTATAGTACAATCTGTATTATATATATAATATTGGATCAGATTGACAGCAAAGACGGATAAAACAATGTTTATAACAATTTGATGTGGATTATATGTGGAACAGTTACAGGATTTTTATAAATACTTATAGTACAATCTCTATTATATATATTATATTTGATCAGATTGATAGCAAAAGACGGATAAAACAATGTTTATAACAATTTGATGTGGATTATATGTGGAACAGTTACATTTGGATTTTTATTAATACTTGTAGTACAATCTCTATTATGAATATTATATTGGATCAGATTGATAGCAAAAGACGGATAAGACAATGTTTATGACAATTTGATGTGGATTATATGTGGAACAGTTTGGATTTTTTTTATTATATGCCTGTTCGCTTATACTTGGATTGATAATATGGATATGTGACCACTAAAAATTGGATTCTTGACATAGACCTGGATATTTGTTATCAATTGTGACAATTAAACTTGGATGTATACAGCTGCAATTGAAACTTGAATTCCTAACAGACTTGGATATTTTGACAACTAGATTTGGATATACTGGATATAGGTAAACTTGAACTCGGATTCCTAACATAGACTTGGATATTTATAGTTGATTGAACAACTTAAGTTGGATATGTGTATATAAACTTGAAACTTGAATTTTCAACAAATCGTAACAACTAAACTTGGATATGTATAGCTAAACTTTTTGGATCCCTAACCTAGACTTGGATATTTATTGTAAATTTAACAACTAAACTTGGATATGTATGGCTAAACTTGAACTCAGATTCCTAAGATACACTTGGATGTTTGTTATGAATTGTAACAACTAAACTTGGATATATATAGCTAAACTTGAAACTTGGATTCCTAGCATAGAGTTAGATATTTGACAAAGATTTTTTATAAATTGTGACAACCAGATTTGGATATGTACAGCTGAAATTGTGATGACTTGGATTATAATATTAATATGTGACAGTTAAACTTGTAGATATTTGACATCTACATGTGGATGCCCCGAGTATGGATATGCAATAGATAGATTTGGAAGTCAGAATATATAAATTTGGGAATGAAACATCATAATATGATGGTTATTGTATGACAACTAACTATATGGATGTGCCTAACTTTTGGATTAGTAATATGAAAAAATGACCACAAATGTTATGAAGATAATAATAACACAGTGTGTGTAACAGTGTAATATATTTTAAAACTACAGCTAAAAACATGGATCTATCAGCCAATAAATCCCAGTGTGACATCACACATGATTGTGATTGTGATTCCACAAACAAAGAAAGACCAAGGAGGTATATATCTAGGGCTCAAATTGTCCTTGAAATCGAGCCCAGTGTTAGGAATATCACAGTTTTAAATGATGCACAGATTAAACTACAGAAAACAATAAAGGATAGAAGAGAAGATGTATCTGAAGTTCACAAGACACATGAGATACAGACAGAAGATGGAATGACTGATGAGGGCAATGCAAGTCAGAGTAAAAACATTCAAGGGCTTGGTGTAAACAATGCCAAAGGAGGAGAAGATGTACCAATCACTGGACAAAGCAGTTTAGATGAAGAAAAAGCAAAAACACAGTTTGTTGGTCAAAATAGTGTTCAAGTAAAAGAAAAGCGACCTAAAGATGATCAAATTAGTCAACCTGCAAATGCAAAGAGCAGATCAACAATAATTGGTAAAAATAGTGCACAAGCAAAGGATAAATCATTAGCTATAGGTCAAAACCATATGGGAATGAATGAAAAAGCACCACTGGCTGGTCAAAATGCTATACTCCCAAAAAGAAAACCAGCGATTAGTCATAATAATATGCAAATTAAAGAAAAGTCTCTCCCCATAAATAATGTCCAAATGAATAAAGACACACCAACAATTGGGCGTAACAGTGCTGCAGTCCCCAAGAAAGCAACAATTCCAAGTTTGAGTGAACGTCAGCTGAAGATCCGGGAAGTAATGAAAAGCAAAGGGCTTAACTATGATGCAACTGGTAATGCTGAGCCAACAATGAATAAAGAAGCAATGGCTTCTGTTGGATTGAAGCTTGCCGAGTACCAGAATTCTGATGACAATGATTCATTGTTTGTGACAAAGAATCAAAACACTGAGGCATATACAAGTCCGAATAAAACATTTTTGTTTGGGAGAAAAAGTAAAAAAGTTTCAAGAGAAAAGCCTGTTAAAGCTTTCAATAAAGCTATTAATAAGAAAGAAAAGGATCGAGAAATATGTTGTGCTAGTTCAGATAAGACAGCCATGGAGGAAGTTGATAAAGGCAAAGGATCTTGTGATACTGTAAAAAATGCCATGCACGCCCCACGTAAAACTGATAAAGACTCAGTTGAATGTACAGCAAACTGTATGAAAGAAATCAATAGTAATGATCTCATTATATCTCATGCTGCTCAAAACGATGTCATCAAACGACCTGGAAGTGTCAAAAACCACCGTGCTCAGTATGGAGCTGCAAAACAACATAAATTGAACCACCATGGTAACAATTCTAAAGATCACATAGATAAATATATCCACAACAGCGTAGAGACTAAAGATTCAGTTGTCCATGATGTAACTGAAAAACATGTTATAACCAATGATCCTGTTGAAAATATCAAGGAGCATTGTGATTCAACGGGGCAAGCTTTGGGAGAAGCTAATGCTATTGTTTCAAATAATTCCATTGAAGATAAACCAGAAGACAATAAAAATACTTTTCTTGAAGATGCTGTTGAAAATAAACCAGACTGTACGATGAATAATGAAGATCCAAATGGGGAAGTTATTAAAGAATCTAGCAAAATGTTTGCTAAAGACACTTTTGAAAGTATAACAGACTATACAATTACTAACAAAGAGTCAAATGGAGAAGTCTTTGAAAAAGAATCTAGCAATGCTTTGGCTAAAGACAATGTTAAAAGTATATCAACACATAACAACAAAGAATCAACACAGCAAGAAATTGAAGAAGAGAGTCACAACAATATTGATGGAGACAATATTGAAAGTATCACAGACCGTTGTGTGAAATATGAAGACACAACTGGACAAATTGTAGAAATTCATGTTGACACTGGAGTAGTGGAAATTGTTCGACCAATTGCAATTAGGCCAGTTACACTTGATTTTGTCCCTGTAGAATCTGATAGCTCTGGCATTGATAGCGATGGAGAGCATGATGATGATGAGCTTGTTGATCCTGGTAATTGTGATATTCTAAATGATGAAGAAAGGGATATACATGAAGATGGTGACAACAGTGTTAAAGGTCCTGAAGTGATTATTGATGATATTGAAGATGGTGAAAATGGGCGAGTATATGATGCTGAAACTATTGATATTGAAAATATTGAACATGATGCAGTCCTTCAACAAGTTGAAGAATTTTCTAAAGGTGAACATCATTTGGATGTTGAGAAACAGATTATTACTGAAAGTCCAAATGATACAAAAAAGCATAACGAGGAATGTAACTATAAGGATGGTGCTATGAGACAAGATGAAAATAAAAAACACATTATTGATAAGGATCCCATACGTAATAATGACTCAGATTTGGATCAGCATGAAGATCAGAATGATGTAGATAATAGAAACAAACTTAAACCTGGTGGAATGATTTATTCAGATAGTTTGGATACTGTGATTGAGGAATCAGATGTTACAAATGAGGCTGATTCACCTGTTGCGGATAATAATGAGGGAAAATTCCACCAACAATCTGACAAACAATCTCTATGTAAAACCTCGGTACATTTATTCCTTGACAAAGCAGACAAAGAAGATAAAGCTGAAAATGATGCCACACCAAATGAATACAATTTAGATGGAAAAAACAAGGATACTATAAACCCAAAAGTGACTGATAAAACGATTGCTGTTTTATTAGATTCTCCTTTGTATATGGACTGCTCTGTATCTGATTGTAGGGATAGCGTCGTAGTTTCTTTGATATCGGTTCAGTCCGGACAACATCCAGACCCAAGCAAACAATCGAGTCATGTCCAAGCTAATGACAAAAGTACTGAAATGAAACCATCAAAGGATATAAAACCCGGAGATGAGAATATCATAAATCCAAATGCTGAGAATGACATTGTTGATAGCATTAAGAACAAATTGAACGAATTGAGTTCTCAAGGTAGTGAGGTGAGCACAAAGGAGGACATGGAAGTTTCGAAGATAACAAAATCACGATCTACATCCCGATCAGTGTCTCCTGGGTCACATGACAGTGCAAATGTTTGGAAAATCAATTTTTCGCAAGCGTCACAGGAGTACATCAATCAGCATCTTTTCCGTCAACGATCTCGCAGTCGTGATCGTGATAGCTTGGAGCGTGTTAAACGTGATAGATCACATTATCATAAGGATACAACCAAATCACCAAGATTATCAAGGAAATGTGCAGCTGAAGCTAAAAAGAAAAGTTCGGATAAAACAAGACTAGATTTGGGAAATGAAGAAAAGGTTGAAGTGGTCGTAGAGAAAAAGGGAAAAAGGTAAGTACCATTTCTAAAGCATGCTTCTACATCATAAATATTGACTTATTGACACATTGTCATTTGGGAAGATATCTGAAGAAAAAAATTCTATAAAATTTAAGTCCCTGTTACTTAAATAGGATGATATTATGGGAGCTGGGTTCATTAATGTTTACAATAGTTCAAACTTTTTTCATAATTATCTTTCTTTATGATCACCCTGTATGATGATCTGTTATACCAATTTGGCAGAAATCAAAACGGTTTCATTCACCTCTTTAGATCATTTCATGGGAAAAATATTTCAAGAAACTTATGTTAGACCTACTATATGTCAGAGTTGTAGACTTCAGTTCATGCTACTATAAATCAGAAATAACACAGGAAAACCTGTATAAGTGGAATACCTTTGGCACCGCTAAAGATGTTCCAATTTTCGAGGTGTTCAAACTACAGACGTTGATTATATGGAATTATTACACCAAAAGTAGTGCGAAATGGCCTTTTCACGTGTTGGCATAAAGTTTTGATGACATTTAAAGACATAGTTCCTCTTTCACGTATATTATCTCATGAAAATGGGCATACCAGCGCAAAGATCTTTGTTCCGTGGTGAAGAAAAGCCATCAAACATTGTCTGAAGTGCAGATTTATCTCCGTAATTCTACTTTTAACATGGCGACCTTGACCTTGAAAAAATATAGCCATTTGGGCGATAATAGGTGATTCAAAAGTGAAAATGAGTGCTTTTTTCGTAGTTTTACTTTGACCAAGTCTAGAAAAAAATCGAAGTGGTAAACCTACCCCCAATTTTTGATATCTTCGTTGTCTAGAAGTGTCCTAGTTGATATCAAAGTTTAAGAAAATTTGTATGTCAAGAAATATTTTATAAATTAGTGCCAATATGGTGGGTTTGGGTGTTTTTTTGCTCTCATTTTTTACCCCATTTCTGCGGTTGCCATGGCAACTATAAGGCTTTGGTAACCATGCCAACTTGATTTTTGAAGGACATCCAGCTGATAGTAGTTGGGCCAAGTTTGATGGAAAATGGGCATGGTTTGATATGCTGACAGTGAGGTTGATTGTGGCATGTAGTAAAACGGCAAAAGAATGGTGGAGTCATACCATTATTTTGCCAAATTTTGATGCTTAATTTTCAATTTATAATCGTTTGGTACCATCGTGACGTCACAATATAGCGTCTGACCTCATGATATGGGTACCAAATTGAAGAGGACGTGACAAGCTTTAAGATGGTACCAAACATGTGGCCATTCATTTGATTAAAATGCTAACTTGAATAAGCCCAAAAGGTGTGTCACTCCCCTACCCCATCCATTTTTCAGGCCATTGAAAAACACCAAAATCTCAAATAATGCAGGCATCTTCAGGGGTAGTTTTTTGGCCCCGTTTTATTCAAAATATCATGTTTCTGGATACCATTTTTATCAGAAATGTCTCAATTACCTAAAAACAGTTACACTAGTGCTGAATAAGAAAACATGTCTCCATTATTTTGCCAAATTTTGATGCTTAATTTTCAATTTATAATCGTTTGGTACCATCGTGACGTCACAATATAGCGTCTGACCTCATGATATGGGTACCAAATTGAAGAGGACGTGACAAGCTTTAAGATGGTACCAAACATGTGGCCATTCATTTGATTAAAATGCTAACTTGAATAAGCCCAAAAGGTGTGTCACTCCCCTACCCCATCCATTTTTCAGGCCAGTGAAAAACACCAAAATCTCAAATAATGCAGGCATCTTCAGGGGTAGTTTTTTGGCCCGGTTTTATTCAATTATCATGTTTCTGGATACCATTTTTATCAGAAATGTCTCAATTACCTAAAAACAGTTACACTAGTGCTGAATAAGAAAACATGTCTCCATTATGGAATTATTACACCAAAAGTAGTGCGAAATGGCCTTTTCAAGTGTTGGCATAAAGTTTTGATGACATTTAAAGACATAGTTCCTCTTTCATGTATATTATCTCATGAAAATGGGCATACCAGCGCAAAGATCTTTGTTCCGTGGTGAAGAAAAGCCATCAAACATTGTCTGAAGTGCAGATTTATCTCCGTAATTCTACTTTTAACATGGCGACCTTGACCTTGAAAAAATATAGCCATTTGGGCGATAATAGGTGATTCAAAAGTGAAAATGAGTGCTTTTTTCGTAGTTTTACTTTGACCAAGCCTAGAAAAAAATCGAAGTGGTAAACCTACCCCCAATTTTTGATATTTTCGTTGTCTAGAAGTGTCCTAGTTGATATCAAAGTTTAAGAAAATTCGTATGTCTAGAAATATTTTATAAATTAGTGCCAATATGGTGGGTTTGGGTGTTTTTTTGCTCTCATTTTTTACCCCATTTCTACGGTTGCCATGGCAACTATAAGGCTTTGGTAACCATGCCAACTTGATTTTTGAAGGACATCCACCTGATAGTAGTTGGGCCAAGTTTGATGGAAAATGGGCATGGTTTGATATGCTGACAGTGAGGTTGATTGTGGCATGTAGTAAAACGGCAAAAGAATGGTGGAGAAATTTTGTTCATGGAATTCTGAAAAGTGTTCAGTTTATGGAGCTGGTATTTTACTTTACAGAAGTGGTGATATATTGTTGATATGTTGTTTTTTGTAATCTAGAATGGGATCTGAAACAAATTCGTCCATGTTTGGAAGAATGTTTATCCATTTGCAATAACTCACCAGTCTTCAGATTGTGTCATTTTTATATCAATACCTTATATGTTCGTTATGTTTAGGTTACTAGAAATCATACTTTGATATTTTGTTTGGGCTACTAGAATCTTATTGATCTGTTTAGCTGCTAAATCACAGCCTGAATCAATATGACATGAATGTTAAAAATGACATTATGTCTTTGACTCATGATAGTAAAATGTTTTCAGTGGCTGTGTTTTAAAATGAAAAATAGAGTAGAAAAGAGTGGAATCAGTAAGGAATAAAGTAAACAGACATGTAGTTAACAATCTCAATTGTATAGAAATGCAAAAAAATAAGACACTTCATTCAAATTTTAGAGAGATATTGTTCAATTAAGCATCAGAAGATTTGAGCATGGGAGGTCCAATAATCAATGATCATTGTGTAAGAGGTTCTAAATAAGGATAATCATCTCATAAAATCTGATAGAACATAGAATCTTAAATTATTAATTTTATAAATAGATAAAATAAATGTATGACAGCAAGCAATAAACATAGTTACATTTTATGACAACATTATTCAAAACTTCAACAGCATGAATCACAATAACGAGGATCTAAAGTAAAAGATTGAGCACCCTCCAAACGAAGGGGTTCAGACATCATCCAAAATATTACTTCCTTCTTCATAGTATATGATATCTGGAGCCAGGCTGGTAGCTAAAGGGGGAATGAAAATTCTTTCAAAATCATGCAGTCTTTCACCTTCATGTGGTGTGCACTTTTTAAGAAATTTTGGGCCAAATCTGTCTATTGTAAACCTCTCTGGAAATTTTAAGAAGTGATTCCAAAAAGCTTGGTACAGGCCTTGGAGCCCAGGTTTCAGAAGCTGAAGATTTTGTAAAGTTTTTGATTCTGGAACATACTGGGTATTTCCCACATGATTAAATAGATGCAAAATTGAAATTCTAAAAAATTTGATCAAATTAATTTTTTTTAAATTTTTCATATGAACAAAGAGAGGAGCATTTTAAGAAATTTTCTGCTATAATATAGATGCAAGTTAATTTTTATAAAGTCGTTGAAGATCACATTACTGTTTATATATGCCTAAAAGACAAGAAGCATATTAGTTGAAAACCCTGTTTCTGGTGGACCCACTCCCTTAAGTTGTGACTCCCCACAAATATTTGGCATAACCCCATTTGTATTTACAACTATTGTGCCTAATGATTTTGCCAAGGCCATATGGGTTAAGACACAATACAATCTTTGTATATTGCGCACAAGGATGAGTTAAGATTGGTATTTTCGGAGTCATTTATCTTGATAGAACAAACTCCTGGTATTATCAAATCCAATTATTGTAAATAGACTGGACATTTATCTAAGACTAACTTGAGAAAAACCTTATGGAGGTCGTAAAATATAGAATCTATTATAGAATACAGTGGAAAACCAAGGAATAAAGTAGAGAGGCGTGCAGCGAACACTCTAAATTATATAGAAATGCAAGAAAATTAGACACTTCATTCAAATTTTAGAGAGAAATTTAGTGAAATAAACATGAGCAGGCGGATATTTGATACAGGATGAAAAGAAGCATTACCCATGGTTACAACATTTTAAAACAAAATATGCGGAGTAGGCGATTGACCCGTTGTCATAGATAAATGCGATTGACCCGTTGTCATAGATAAATGCGATTGACCCGTTGTCATAGATAAATGCGATTGACCCATTGCCATAGATAAATGCAATTGACCCATTGTCATATATAAATGCGATTGACCTGTTGTCATAGATAAATGCGATTGACCCATTGTCATAGATAAATGCGATTGACCCATTGTCATAGATAAATGCGATTGACCCGTTGTCATAGATAAATGCGATTGACCCGTTGTCATAGATAAATGCGATTGACCTGTTGTCAAAGATAAATGCGATTGACCTGTTGTCATAGATAAATGCGATTGACCCATTGTCATAGATAAATGCGATTGACCCATTGTCATAGATAAATGCGATTGACTCATTTTCATAGATAAATGCGATTGACCCGTTGTCATAGATAAATGCGATTGACCCGTTGTCATAGATAAAAGCAAACACAAATTGAGTTAACACTTGAAATTATACATAATTGGACATCCTTTCGATCATGAACAAGCTTACAATTAAATAAGTGTATTCAGATGTAAGCTAAGGCACAGCTACATTATGGTCTTATTGGGGATTCTGAATTATTTATAAATACCCTCGCATAAAATACTCATTGCCATTCTCACCCTTGAATAAAATTTCATTCTCAATATGTTAGTTCATTAATTTCTGTAGTTTTGGGATTGATTGACAGATGGTAACTGTAGTTATCATCTCTAAAAGTGTATATTTATTCACATCTGATCATGCTGACAGATAGGTAGACAATGTCAGGATCCTGCCATTAAGATCACAATAATCAAAATTTGTTTTTGAATGTTGAAAATTGTGACCGTGGATTATTCTTCCTCCCTCAGCTGGTTTTTATGTCACCACCAAAAGTGGTGACTTATTGTTATAGTCTCCATTTCTTGTGCCGGTGGTTGGTGTCTGGCATTTGGTATTGGGTGTCTGGCATTTGGTATTGGGTGTTTTGCTTTTGGTATTGGGTGTTTGGCATTTGGTATTGGGTGTTTTGCATTTGGTATTGGGTGTTTGGCATTTGGTATTGGGTGTTTGGCATTTGGTATTGGGTGTCTGTCATTTGGTATTGGGTGTTTGGCATTTGGTATTGGGTGTTTGGCATGTGGTATTGGGTGTTTGGCATTTGGTATTGGGTGTTTGGCATTTGGTATTGGGTGTTTGGCATGTGGCAAATGACACGTGGTGACATTTTGCATGTTAATGCCTTGTATCTCCAGGGCTTAATAGACAGATAAAGGAGGCACTCTTGTAAATCAGAGTATGGGGATTTCAGGTCATTACGACTTGTTTTAACTGATAATGAAATATTAATTCCATAATGGAAAAACATGACAATGACTGAATAAAAACATAATAGAACAATGATTTAGTGATATTTTATCATTAAACAATATGTTATCAAACAGATTATTGCTTTTATATTGAGAAATACATATTTAGATTTTAGTGGAGTGATGCCTGAATGTCATAAAAATATTTTATTGGAGTGGTATCAGAACCTTTTGACATGTAATTTTAGAGTAAGATATAATACTTTGATGATGTAACAGAAACGAATGACATTTTGACATTTCATCTTAGACATTATCTATGATTGCATATACTGTCGTTTTTATTGAGATAAATACCATTAATTCAGCACTTCTTGTGATTTGTCTTTGACCTATGACTGCTGACCTATACTGGCGATTACTAGAGTGCTGCTAACTCGATAAAAGGCTGGCGCTGGCTAGAATTGTCTATGGTTCTAGCCAGGATAAAGATACCAGTTCTTCAACTCGACAATGGGAAGAACTGCTCTACCTAAGTGACTAATATGTCATGATATGACATCTAATGAGTCGATAAAAGATATATATATAATTCCAAAATTTTGTATCGTAATTCATTGCTTCTATGTTATTGAAAAATGGAATGCTATTTTTATTTTATCACTTGCACACATTGGTCACATTTAAAAATGCAAAATACGAATGCTTCTCTGGGTATGAACACCTCTCAATGTGAACATATTTCAATGTGAACACCTTGTGATGTGAACACATTTCAATATGAACACATTTTAAATATGAACACATTTTAATATGAATACATTTTAAATATAAATATGAAAATATTTTAATATGAACCCATTTTAAATATGAACACATTTTAAATGTGAACACATTTCAATATGAACACACTTTAAATATGAACACATTTTAATATGAACACAATTTAAATGTGAATGCAATTTAATATGAACACATTTCAATGTTAACACATTTTAAATATGAACACAATTTAATATGAACACATTTTAATATGAACACGTTTTAAATGTGAACACATTTTAAATATGAACGTAATTTAATATGAATACTTTTTAAATTGGAACACATTTTAAATATGAACACATTTTAGATATAAATATGAACACATTTTAATATGAACACATTTAAAATGTGAACACATTTCAATATGAACACATTTTAGATATGAACACATTTTAATATGAACACATTTTAAATGTGAATGCAATTTAATATGAACACATTTTAAATGTGAACACATTTCAATATGAACACATTTTAAATGTGAATGCAATTTAATATGAACACATTTTAAATGTGAACACATTTTAAATATGAACACAATTTAATATGAACACATTTTAATATGAACATGTTTTAAATGTGAACACATTTTAAATATGAACGTAATTTAATATGAATACTTTTTAAATTTGAACACATTTTAAATATGAACACAATTTAATGTGAACACATTTTAAATGTGAACACATTTTAAATATGAACACATTTCAATATGAACACATTTTAAATATGAACACATTTCAATATGAACACATTTTCATTATGAACACAATTTAATATGAACATATTTTAATTCTTGTCATGTTCATCAAGCAATATTTTGTAAATACAAAATAAAAATGATCAATATATTGATTTATTATTAATATATATATTGATTTATTATTATTAATATATATTGAAATGCTCTTTAACAATCACTTCAACTTTCCCAATGCTATTTGCAAATTGATATAAAACTTGATATAATTGGTCAATTCTCTAAAATTCATTTCTTTTGGAAATTGAGATAAATATTTGGTGTTCATTTGCAAAGGATTATAAGATGTTTGAAAGTGAGTGACAGACACAAAAGTAGACTATTATATATACCAGTATATACATATAAAATATGCACAGTATATAAACAAAAAACATTGATGTATTTACATGTATATATGAATTTAAGCCCTTGACTAAACATTTAGCAAACGAACACACCGATTAAAGTTCGTAATACATTTTGTGTATAGGTAGATGTATAAGGAAAATTGTACTCATTATATAAAATTATTATTTAAATATTTGAAAATATTAAATATTCTTGAATCCAATTTTTGGTAATTGTTCTCTGTTATGTGCAATTTTTTATGTTTTTTGAACAGCATCCGAATTTTTTGAAATGTTTGCTTTATGTTGTCTGCTTCCGGAATATAGTCATGTTGTACCCCTGGTTCTAGTTCCTTCGTTTTTTCATCCATTTTTCGAATGGCTTTGGCGGCCACAAGTTTAGCTATCGCACACTTATTGTAAAGCTTCTTGCGTTCTTCCTTACTTGCCTTCTCCGGAAGGGCTGAGTATCTCATGACACATTCTCTGAACATTTCACTCTCTTCGATGGCAATTTTGTCGAAGTCTTTGCATTTCCCGTTATCTAAAAGTTAAAGGTGGGCATGTTTTGAAATGAAAATACCTGCCTATCCGAACCTTCCCTGTGGCTTTTAGATGGGGGAGGTTTAACTATTTTTCATCAATACAATATTTCTGTAGTATTCATATTGCAATTGTTGTATTTTGAAATACAAAATAAATGCATTACCAATAAAGTTAAACAGGTTTGTTTCTATGGTATTCATTTGAGACATGTGACTATTTTCAACCAATCAAAGAATGGGATTTTCTTACCTACACATATTGGAGGATCGCTTGTATAGTGACCTCTTTTATTGCAAAACCTTTTGTTTTGACCAATCATTTGGAAGCAGGGGTCGCATTTGTAAAAGATTCTGGTGCTTGGTCTGACGCCATCATATGCTATGAGGTCACGATTAAATGTCCCATGTGGGATGTCATAGGGAAATGGGCAAAACACTTCTTCATCTGTAAATAGAATGGTATAATCTTTTGTAAGTATAATCTAGATATGTTACTCTTGGGGTATGGGGTCACTGTTAAATGTCCCATGTGTGATGTCAGAGGGAAATGGGCAAAACACTTCTTCATCTGTAAATAGAATGGTATAATCTTTTGTAAGTATAATCTAGATATGTTACTCAGACTGCATCTTGGGGTATGGGGTCACTGTTAAATGTCCCATGTGGGATGTCAGAGGGAAATGGGCAAAACACTTCTTCATCTGTAAATAGAATGGTATAATCTTTTGTAAGTATAATCTAGATATGTTACTCAGACTGCATCTTGGGGTATGGGGTCACTATTAAATGTCCCATGTGTGATGTCAGAGGGAAATGGGCAAATCTGAAAATGAAGTGCCGATTTCTTAATGTATGATTTAATGTATAATTTAATATGTTAAGTATAATTTAGATATATTACTGATGGCATCCTAGGGTATGGGGTCACTATTAAATGTCCCATGTGAGATGTCATAGGGAAATGGGCAAATCTGAAAATGAAGTGCCGATTTCTTAACGTATGATTTAATATGTTAACCGAGTCTTATTTTAGCCCTTGTCCTCAGTGCCACAAGTTGGAGTAAATTAGAGGAGGGTCCAGTCTATATGGTGCAAAACTTAACATAGCATATACAGTAAAACCTGTCTTAGTGAACACCTCTCTCTAGTGAACACCTGTCCCTAGTGGACACCCTTCCTACGCACATAGTCCACTGACTTCTGTATAAATTACCCTCTCTCTAGTGAACACCTACCTACAGTGAACGTTTTTTCTTGGCAAAAAAATGTTCACTATACACAAGTTTTACTGTATTATAATGATTCCTACGTCATCATCAAGTTCAGTTAGAGTCATTCTAAGCGGGGCCGTTCTCTTTAGATTTCTCGAATATCGCAGGTGTTTGAATGTTTTCTTGTGACTGTTTACAATCATCAGTTTATTTGTTTCCATGGCGAAATATTTGGGATCCAGGTTCAACTTAGTTTAGCTGAAATTGTTGGTTTATCAAAAACCAAAGAATTGTGGCCACCATCTTGAATGATACGTACTGCAGTTAGAGTCATCCAGGTGTGGAACAGTCAATAGAAAGCTTTGATATACAAGTTATTTAAAATATGTATAGCATTGGGGAGGAACGCTGGAAACGAAGATAGGGCGCTTTCATCCTTCAAATCACAACAAAATATTCACAAATCAATTCCCTTGATAAGGAAATGAGGAAAATTTCTAATGAAATGAACTTTCCTGGTTTTTTGAGAAACCTTCCTCTCAGTAGTGTTCACATCTTTTAAAAGTTAAAATCGCTAGTTTGTCTGAAAACTTATATCGAAAGCACATCATTTAAAAGTTAAAGTCGCTAGTTTGACTGAAAACTTATATCGAAAGCACATCATTTAAAAGTTAAAGTCGCTAGTTTGTCTGAAAACTTATATCGAAAGCACATCATTTAAAAGTTAAAGTCGCTAGTTTGTCTGAAAACTTATATCGAAAGCACATCATTTAAAAGTTAAAGTCGCTAGTTTGTCTGAAAACTTATATCGAAAGCACATCATTTAAAAGTAAAGTCACTAGTTTGTCTGAAAACTTATATCGAAAGCACATCATTTAAAAGTAAAGTCGCTAGTTTGTCTGAAAACTTATATCAAAAGCACATCATTTAAAAGTAAAGTCGCTAGTTTGTCTGAAAACTTTTATCGAAAGCACATCATTTAAAAGTAAAGTCGCTAGTTTGTCTGAAAACTTATATCGAAAGCACATCATTTAAAAGTAAAGTCGCTAGTTTGTCTGAAAACTTATATCAAAAGCACATCATTTAAAAGTTAAAGTCGCTAGTTTGTCTGAAAACTTATATCAAAAGCACATCATTTAAAAGTTAAAGTCGCTAGTTTGTCTGAAAACTTATATCGAAAGCACATCATTTAAAAGTTAAAGTCGCTAGTTTGTCTGAAAACTTATATCGAAAGCACATCATTTAAAAGTTAAAGTCGCTAGTTTGTCTGAGAGCTTATATCGAAAGCTCTCTAATATGCCACTTTGACCCTTCATATACACTCACTTTACACACCTGCTATTTATGAAATGAAAAAATTAAATAAATTTAAATTGTTAAAAATAAGAATTAAAACAACAGAAAAACTTACCTGTCGCTACCAAGCTATAACAACTACAAATAAATAATAATACTGCGATGAAATCAACTCCCATGATTTATTTATTTTTTAATTTTTATTTTCTCAAGATTTCTAGTGTCTCTACGGATCGCTAAAGTTAAGTGTCCTGTTTATAAAGATTGTCTTCTATTTATATTAAATTGATATAGTTCATTAATAGGTCATGCATAGTTATGATTTTAAATGCGACTAATTAAGTACAGATGTATGCTATAAAAGAGATTTGAGGGCAAATGTGTGGATGTCATAGGAACAGTTGTTGCTTCATAAACATGTGACTTGTCTCAACCAATAGGAATCCTTAAAGGGTTTTGCTTACAAAAGTAAGTCAATTTCTTAATTTATAGGGCAAAAACCTCAGTGCATTCTGTTGAACTAAAATTGCCATTTATGACGATTGAGAAAATTATGGTCCTTTTTAAGAAGAGGAAAGGTCTTGAAAAATTGAAGAGTCAACTCTGAAAAAGCAAACAGACTTGTAGTTAACACTCTAAATTATATAGAAATAGAAGAAAATCAGACAGTTCATTCAAATTTTAGAGAGATATCGAGTGAAATGAGAGGTGGGCAGACGGATGTTTTGAGCAGATGGACATGTTGTTCACACATTTTGAACTGATATGTCCGATCTGCATATTTAGGACTTTGGCTTAATATATCAACCAGATTTATGTTAATTTCCTTTATTTTTTAAAAATAAATTCCAAGTAGTCCTGGTATTTTTGTGAATTCTTATATTTATTAGAGTATTGCTTTCGTATTGTAGCATTTTTTTCATTTAATTCATGTTTAGGGTATGCTTAACCTAAATTTTACTTAATTGAATTAATGCACTTTCACAGGACAGTGCCTTAACCTGGTAAACCTATTGTTTATTGTGTTAATGAAAATTGATCATTCCCTGTGATCAAAACATCCGTCTGCTCATGCTTATTTCACTCGATTTCTCTCTAAAATTTGAATAAAGTGACTGATTTTCTTGCATTTCTATACAATTTAGAGTGTTGACTTCATGTCTATTTACTTTATTCCTTGCAAATTCCATTCTTTTACACTTTATTACACATTTTAAAACATGCCTACCATAGGGTTTGTTAACCGGGTATAAAAACAAGGTGCTTAATTAATTGTACTTTTAATTGAATAGTTTTCCTTGAGATTGTAGTTTTAAACTCATAATTGCTGATTTAGATAGAGAAACATCTTTTTCTTCGATCCCTCTTGGATTATGATAATCAATAATTGCCCTGATGTAGATTGATTTGATACACATTTTCCATAACTTCTACAGATAAAATGTAAAATTTTGATTTTTCAAAAAGTTTTCAGAATTAAAGGTTTTGGCTTAGAAAACGGAAGGAGGATTTATACAACAAAAACTTAACTGATTCATTTGGTTCTTAAGGCATTCTTAATAATCTTTATGTTCAATAGTTAAATATAAAAATTTAGATGTGGCTTTTTAACCTTTACCATGCTGCCTTATTTCAGCAAATATATCCCACGCAACTGGCTTATTTTTCAAAGAGTGCAAAAAATGATATGCCTGGACTAAATAATTAATATCTCAATAACTACTGAATGAATCTGGATAAAATTTTCACAAAGGGAAGACACAGTGGCCTGGCTCATGAAAAAAATGTTCTCATGAATTTTTTCGTACATTAACACGACTGGGCATAAATATACCATGAATACTCCTCCGGAATCCGACGCTCCGCCTCTTCGTCTGGTCAGAATCCAAATCTGAATTTGCAGCGATCAAATGTTCAATTTTTCAATTCAGAAAATATTCTAGCTTCTATTTTCGATGACCGTTATCGGCTTCCAAGAGCCTAAAGAGCTCGAAATCGTAATCCATTTCCTCCACATTTTCGTTGTGATCGTATTTGTCCACCATTTTGTACGATTCGTTCACTAAAAACGACTTAAACACTGTTTAAATTGTTGAATTGAGAATTATTTTTCGAAATATCGCATTTCTAGGTCAACAGGAAGTCATGTTAGGCACTGAATAAATCGGGCAATCTAATTGGACAATACGAATGGCGCGAAAAAGTAAAGTTTTTAAAAGTTTGAAATCGGGCGTACGGGTCCGCCGGCAGTTGTGAGAGACATTTTAGTCTCGGCGGACGAGTCCGCCGGCAGCACGCTAAAGGTTAAAGAAGATATGATGGAGCTTTCTTGACATCAGCTTTAAAGTTGTGAAACAATTATTTGTAATGAATTGTCCAAATTTGAAGATCTTTTGTATAATTGTTAAAACATAGTTTCAAAGCAGAAAAAAAAATTCCTTAATAAATCATATTCTCCCAGCTGTCAATCGTGGGCTGTCGCCTCTTCTAATTAATATCCTGCAGAATTTAGAAGCAAATGTATTATCTCTCTGATCGATAATTGTTAATGGGGTATAAATACTAAAACAATTAATGAATATAATTTATTGCGTGCAGCAGTTAGAAATGGATTCAAATCAACTTTTATTACAACAAGTCTTTATTATTTTTTTTATTATTGCAACAAGTTGCAGGTGCCATTGTTTCCATTATACATTTATTATATATTTATTTCAAAGTATTATACAGAAATAGTTACATAAATTGCAGGTGTTGATTGTAAATAGAAAGAACAAGGTTTTTATGATTTTTCATGAAATGACTTTAATTGAAAAGAATTGTGAATGTCTTATTCAAACTGTCTAGCAATGTTGATATTTGAATAATTTTTTTGAATTTTTTTTTTCTAGTTTTTTTTCTGGCTTGAGATTAAAAACTCTCATTGGTGTAATTATCACTCAAAAATACAGTTACTTTAAATGTCATACAAATATACAAAATGTTATAATGAATCAGAAGTATTGTTGAAATTGGTTAAGAATTATCGTCTATGCATTATACTACATAAAATGAGTTGAGAACTTTTGGTTTCTTTGCCATAGAACTTTGAGTTAATAAAGTAAAATCTCTTTTGCTATTTGCATATGAAAAATAAGTATAAAATAAACATGTTGTTTAATTTTTCCATAAATATAACATTTAACACACTAAAGTCTGTTGACAGATGTGGGTGTAAAGTTTTTTTTTTACACTTGTGGGAGTCATCTAATAGTTCTGTTGACAATAAAATAAACCTGGACTTTTATGGATTTGTCGTTTTGTTTTGATGGGTTGTTTTTGCATATTTTTGAAACCAATAAAATATTATACTAGTATAGTAATGCCTGGGTCACATTTGCTCAGGTTCATGGTCTGGTGCCTGGCCGATTGAGTACTTGGTTAAAAATAGTATTCAGTTTTGATCAAAATACTCAATCAGGCAGGCGCCGGCTGATGAGTCCAAGCAAATGTGACCCAGGCATAAAATAGGTTATTTCATAAGTAGAGGTCTCAAATAAATCCTGACCCCTTTTTCATGAATCAAGGAAACTGGTCACTGGGGTATATTGACTAGATTTATGATGTCATATTTTGCAGGTAGTGATGCCCAGCCCATTGCCAGGTATGGTCAGTATATACTGACAGGTATACTTTCAGTCTATACTGACAGGTCAACTTTTAGTCAAGTTTCAGTATACTTTCAGTATATGTCCCATGTTATGATTCCATTGACAGGTATGTTTCAATTATGGTAATTAGACCTACCAGTATGGTTTCAGTATACTTTCAGTATAAACCAATGGGTATACATTCAGTATACACATACCAGTATAATTTCAGTATATACCAATGGGTATACATTCAGTATATATATGTAGGTACACTTTCAGTATGGTATCAGTATATACCTGTAGGTCAGTATAGTCATTTAGTCTATACTGACAGTCTTAATATGTCAGTCTGTAGACTGATATAGATGAATATGACTCTACCAATGAGATACCTTAAATTTTAAATCATTCTGCAGATGAGAAAAATTAGTACATGTAATTTGGATAGCAGTCTTATTTTCTAGCATTACATTATCTAATTAATTAGATGCAGGATTATGAAGACTTCTAAAAGACATACCACAAATAAATTAATATTCTTATATTAACTATATTCAAGTTTTATTCATGATGTATTTTTGATGCAAAGTTTTAATTTTCAAATTTTAACTGTATTTCTTTTTTAAATTTTACTATGACTGTGTCTTTCATATCTTCTCTCATTTTTTATGTTGTCAATGTATAAAACATTCAATGTAATTATGAGCAGGAATGCTCCCCTGCCACCTAGTCTGGTAGGACAGGTTGTGGAAACAAATGGTCATAAAATAGAACTTACATATGAATAATTGTTGACTTATAGTTTTATCATGAATTTTGCATTTGCCGTTTATATTATAAAATGATAAAGTAAAACTGGTATATGTTCAGTCTAATTATTATTTATTTGGTATGCTTTCAGTATACTATTGAAAATCATAAGTAAAACTGGTATGCTTTCAGTATATTCAGTATTTATCAGAGTTTGTTTGGTATGCTTTCAGTATACTATTGAAAATCATAAGTAAAACAGGTATACTTTCAGTATATTCAGTATCTTCATACCTATTTACAGATCTATATTCAGTATATATACCTATTAATTGGTATGGTATCAGTCTGGTATCAGTATAGACCCATCAACAAGGTATACTTTTAGTATACTTTTGGTATAGACTGACTACCCAGCCTATAGTGAGGCGCAGTTTAGGTATACTTTTGAGGCGCAGTTTTGGTATACTCATGAGGCGTACTTTAGGCGCAATTTACAGGCGAAGTCCTGTGTTAAAATCCCATAGGCAGGCGCGTTTCAATTATGCTAATTATACCAATAGTATACCTAGAGGCGCAGTATTGGTATACGCCTCATATCAGGTATATACCTCATATCAGGTATACGCCTCATGTCAGGTATACGCCTCATTATACCTGTTTTATAGGTATTATTTTGATATATACCTGCTTTTCAGGTATCGCCTGTTAAGAGGTATACTATTCCTATCATTTTGATTTATTGGGGCAGCAACTAGGGCTTATTATTGGTAAATACCTACTTTTCAGGTATACGCCTGATAAGAGGTACATACCTAGTTTGTTGGTAGTTTTATTTCTTAGTTGTTATGAGTAAAGTGTTTGGTAAATGTAGTAACCTCCATAATTAAATGAGTTGTACATTTAGTTTGAATTGCTTTGTTGTTTTCTAGCAATAGCTTGTCTCATTAATAAGATACAGGTCTAAGAAAACTTTAGAATGATGC